TCTCTCATCAATGTATAACTTAAAGAATAGAACAGACCTAACTCATTTGCATTTACCTTCTCTCTTTGTTCCCAATTTCGTGAGTCCACTCTTTTAATGAGACTGAAAAGGTCACTAGCAACAAAAAGTAGAGAGGACCCTTAGACTTGGCGATCAAAAGTGAATGGTTAGATCAAAGGTCAGCAATGCAGTGAATCAAGATTTTAGACCATGGTTTTTTGAAAGCATAAGGTAGAAGGAAACTTAGCACTTTTTTTTCCTATCTCTACCTCTTCTCTTTAGATAAGATAGATAATCTAGAGCCTTCTCATTTATTTTCTTGGTGTACAGATAAATAGACAGAAAATATATAGTCTGAAAGATAGGTTGTCCCAAATTGTTACATGCTTTATGTACTTTTGTCCAAGTATGGCTGACGTTGCATGAATTTTCAAATATTGTGGCCATGGCCTCTAATAGCTGCTACTTTCTCTCTTTTAGCTTGACTGATCCATTTCATTTTACCATTGAATCCATCTTTAGATACACTGATGTCTGACATTCCCACTGTCTACTCATCTAGGGTAGACAAATTGCTTTCTTGAGTATGATTTTTGGTCCTATTGTTATGAAGCTGGAAACTGATGGAGAAACATTAGCCCACCAAAGAGATGGGCAAGATCCCATAGACCACTCTGGTGGTCTATGTGGGACTTGTTCAGCTTCTCAAGGAACTAAGATGATAACAGACCTGCTCTGAGATTGGAATTGCAAACCGCAAAGTACTATAGAGGCTTACCAGAGCTCCAGGATGCAAAACGTTTTCCATGAGAAGCAAACCCATTCCATTTGTGGCTTTTGCTAGTTTTGCACTATCAAGAAATGTATTTTTAAAAAACCTTTTCTACAATGCTAGCAAAAGCCACAAATCCAATACCCTTGGTTTGCATGCAAAAGGTGATGACCAATTCAGGTTAGACTTAGTGCCGCATTAGCTAATGTACTAGAACTTCTTCCAAGGAGTTCCCAGGTCAACCAGTTTAAGCTTCACATTTCAGAGACACTTTGACTTGAGACCTCGGCAAAACATTCACAAAGTAATGAATGGCCATGTAATTGTCAAATTTCAACCTTAAAATATTTAAATGTTGCATTGCCCCATCTCAACACTCCTGATAAGCTCTCATGAAAATTATGGGCTAAAATTGACATTGATTCCATTAGTGCAATAGAGGCAAGTTCGTATCATAGAAACAGGAAATAATTCCGGTTAGAATCATTCACTCAGCTGTGACATGATAAAAGGCATACAGTACAGAGGATCTCCAAGAGAAAAATGTATTCCTGGAAATGGTTGAAGGACTTTAAATTGGGGGCAGGGCGGGGGCGGGGGGCAAGTTGTAAATCTCCTTTATAAGAAAAACCTCCAACAGGACTCATAGGCTGTTCTATGGCCCATATTAGATTATGAACTTTCCATGATTGCTGATTCTTACTACTGTTCTCCTACAGTCAGTTTTATTGTCTAAAAATTAGGTTCAGTTGGATTTTCCAAGGCTCTTCCTGACTGTCTTCTATGGAGTTTTGGAGCCGATGCGGGTCAAATGACCACAACATTCCACTCTGCAGCATTTGGGGTGACTGCATTTATAGGGTAAGTGGAACCATTCTCATTATCTTGTATACAATCTGTGAAGTCTAAGTTGGATTATTTGGTATGAAAGGTTTAAGGTATTATCATTTTTAGTAGCACTTCATTGAGAAATGTATAAGAAACATCTGAGAATTTACTGATCTTTCCCTATTGACTCTGTTACTTGTGATTCTATGATTTAAAAAAAAAAAATCTTCAAAAGAGTAACAGTAGAATTTTTCAAATATCTCTTCTTTATCTCCCAACATACCATTAAGCTTTGGAATCACAGAAGCAAAATGGCCTTAGATGATGAAGATATAGATTATGGACTGAGGGCTACATAATTAAACATGTAAGATATCAAGGTAAAGTACCAGAATACATAAAGAGGATAATTTCTTTAGTCAGCAAATGGGCAATAACAGGAAAAGAATTTTTGTCTTGGGATAGTGAGCAGTTGTATAAACATATGATGCAAAGGCTTTTTCAAATAGACATAACATTGCCATATGTTCCATCCAAAAACTGCAGAGGGACTTGGGAAAATCAGAATGATTTAAGATCGCCTATACACATCTCTGCCACCATTTGGTTAGCTGAGCCCAAGCAGCTAAAAGTAAGGAGTGTAGTTAAATAGGGACATGTTGAGAGACCGTAGTGTGCCCCAGAGATCTTTGTGTTAAGATAAAGAAAGCTATCAAACATCACGGACAAACTGCTGCTTCCCTTAAGATATGGTAAAGCGTGTGTACTACCTCTGGTCGCTCAGATCTACCAGAGCTCATGGAAGGCTTTCCTCCAGATTCAGGTCAGAGACTGCTTAACAAGGCAAGAGAGGGTTAGACTGTGGGGAACATATGGATTTGCCCTTCTTCAGTACTTAGCTATGAGAAAGAGGCAACGCTGCTAGGCTGTCAAAAGACCAGTAAAGTAAATAGATCCCTCTACATAAAGGAAAGGCAGCCTACAAAGCAAGCGCAGTGGAAACAATAGCACCTTACTGCCAAGGACAGGCTGTGCCTGCACAATGTCAAATCAACCAATCGAAGGGTGAAAACTTCAACACGCACAAATGTTTTGTCTATATAACCTAGCCAGTGTGCTTGCTTTCTTTTTGTAACTGCAGTGAACAATTGTTTTGGTATCATGTAGGAAATAATTGGCACCCAAAGATGAGTCATTGAATCGGTTGTATAGACCACCACTCTCCATTTCATCGATTAAGGGGGGAAATGAGACTGATGTAGGAAGCAAACTATATGACCAGCGGTGGCAGCCTGCTCCATAGAGCTGGCTTCATTAATCTTAACAGGGTCCAATTAAATCCAGGAAGGTGACCAGCCATGATCTTTCTGAAAGTCGTTTTTCCTTCAACCAAAGGATCAGATTTATTAATACACAGATATTTTTATTGTCCAATCCCTTAATAAAGAGGATAGGTGGGAATTTTTCCTGGCCAGAATAATTAATGAGATTGCGCTTAAAACTTCAATTTAGCCGGTCATTACTTAAACACTCATTTCAATTTGCTTCTCTTGCTGTCAATAGTCTTTTCTCCGGAATAAAAACAGTTTGTATCATTTGAAACCACCCATCCATAAAAACATCAATAACTCTAGAGTGAATAAGAATCAAATGAAGTTGCTCAAATTTATGTCCCTGAAATATTCATTCATATATGCATGCATGTTCTCGTTTATAATTCATTCTGCATGGCATCTGATGGGCTCTCGATTTGAAGTCTCTCTTCAGTTATGGAAATCCTTAGAATGATTTCTTCCTGTGTGGACTTCCCTCCTGCCTCACTAGAACCCAGTTCTAGTCGTCTCATAAGTCCTACTCAACAAGTGGTGAAACCTCAAATCTCCCTTTCATATCTGAAATTTCAAACTTCATGTCATTGGGCTGCATTCGCAGAGAGAATAACTCCCCTCACTTAAATTCATCGATTCATTCGTCAAGTGTATCCAGTATGCTGGTCAACCCATTTAGTGAATTTTTTATTTCAACAATCACCGTTTTCATCTTTAAGAAATTTTAACTGCCAGATCTTATTTCTTAAGTACTTCCTGTAGTTTAATAATCTCCTGTTCATATATCATGTTTGGAAAAATTCCTTTATCCCTCTGATGATATTATATATTCTTAAAATCATTTTTGGATTGTTTATATTATTTCTCATCTTTCTGGTGTGGAAATTTTCTATATGTGCTAATAATCGTCTCTCTTTCATTGTGTTGGCCATCAACAGATAGTAGGTAATTCTTGGTTATTCAGTCTTAGTTTAGGTTTCCTCAAAACAGAGCTTGAGAAGGTGGTATAAGAAATATTTTTTAAAGAAATCCCAAGAAGCACAAGCAAAGGAGCAAAGCAAGGTAGATAAACCGGAAAAGCCAATGTAAGGGAATACATGGAGGTTGTTCTATTCACCCGGGACCTCTGAGAAGCACAAAGACCCTTTCTAGAATGGTTTGCTAAAGGATTTCCATCCCCCATTAGGTAAAGGCTGCCCCTGGGACTGCTGACACCCTCATACTTTTGGACTATGTTTGTCCATGGGCCAAGATGTTTCCCTTAGTTTGGAAGAAGGCCCTAGGGCATAAATCAGAGAAGGTATGCGCTTAAGGTTGGATCTGCTCAATGTGTATCTAGACATGCATGCAACTATACAAGGCTGTTGCCGCTGAAATTAGAAAAGGATCTCCAGCAGGCACTCTGTAGAAGAATTCTTCAGCATGAATCCTGAGTTGTGATAATTCCTGATAGAGTGACCTTTCTGCACGGGTGGCCTTTGAGCAGTAAGTAACCTAGCCTTTTATCAGCAGCATCTGATTTGGCCTGGCAGTGAGGGTTGCCCATCTACTGCCATCTTTTTAGGGTGCCCCCTTTTTTCTAGTTTACAGACAGTTCTCATTCTTATTTTTAGGAATGGCTATGAATATTTTTTTGAAGTGTTTTCTAGGAGAGAAAGATTTCGACCTGCACTCAGCCATCTGCCTAATGTGTAAATTAGACTCTTCTGTTACCTGTCTTAAAGCATCACTTGCACGATCACCAAGATTCCCCTATTTTCCAGTAATTCTGGCTTGAGATTACACCCACATTCACAACATCTATTTCTATCTGGTTTCACCAATGTCGACCTCCACTCTGCTATCATCCCACTCAAATTCAAAATGCTAATTACTGGAGGTGAGGCCCTGATCCCCTGGAAAAGTTCCAGAATCAGTCCATTTGAAATAGTCCAAAACTAGTGTCCTAGAAAAGTTCATCTATTAAATATTTGATGTCATTACTCTCTTTCCATTACATAAGATTGCTTTGAGTTATCATGTCGTATTAGTTTTCTAGGGCTGCCATAACAAAGTATCAGAAACTAGGTGGCTTAAACAACAGAAATTTATTTTCTTACAATTCTGAAGCCTGGAAGTCGGAGGCCAGGATGGTGGCAGGATTGGTTTCTCCTGAGGCCTCCCTTCTTGGCTTGCACCTTCTTGCTATATCCTCTCATGGTCTTACCTCCACACCTGTGTCAAATCTCCTCTTCCTATGAGGACACCAGTAACATTGGATTAGGGTTCACCCTAATGACCACATTTTAACTTCATTACTTCTTTAAAAACCCTATCTCAAAATACAATCACATTCTGAGGTTGTACAGGGTAGATTTCACCCTATGAATGGGGGGAGGGGACACAATTCAGCCCAGAACACATGTCCATTAGGAATTCTTCAGATTCCCTTCAGTATTGTTCAAATGGAATGAAACATGATTCCAGTCCCCATGCGCTTCAACTAGAAGGAGTTACCATTGCCACAGACTTTGAAATCATGGGGGTTTTTCCTCCAATTTTTACTAGAAAAACATTTCTGCTAATAATCTCTTTGAATGTGCAGAAAAGGACACAAGGCCATATGATAAACTGACAAGACAAAATCTTTAGGTCAAATCTAAATACAGAAAAACCTCCTTAATATGAGATAAGATTCTACAACTTACGTGAGAAGATAAACTAAGTTATGGAATTGTTTTAATTAATTTCTTTTTAAACTAATATGTAGATATCATTAAAAAATTAATCAAACAGTTCAAAGGGATCTTGGATGTAAAGAAAGTCTTCCTCTTACCTCCATCCTCATTTCCCAGCCATCCTTCCCAGAGGCAACCACTATTATCTGTTTCTTAATTATCACTCCAGAGATATTCTATGGGAATGCAAACATGTATATTAATGCATCCTTTTTGCTTTGTACAGTTGAGGTATACTTTACACATATTTTGCATTGTGGCTTTTCCACTTAACAGTCTTCACGATTACTCCACATCACAGAAAGGAGATGTACCTAATTATTTTCAAAACTCAAATAATTTTTTGTTATATGGGTGTACAAGCACAAAGAATTTTTTAGCCATACCTACTGATGGCCATTTAGCTTGTTTCGGCCTTTTGTTGCAATCAGTAAGGCCATAACGAATAGGCTTCTTTATACAACTTTGCACAGAAGTGCAAGTACACTTGAAGGATAAATTTCCACCCATAGAACCACAAGTTCAAAAGTTATGTGTATTTTTAACTTTGAAATACATTGACAAATTTCCCTCAAAGAGTTTGCATCAATCTGGAATCTTTGCAATGTGTATGAATATTTGCTTCCTCACACCATGTTAATATAGATTATTATCAAACTTTCAAAAATTGTCCGTTTGATAGGTAAAATAGTGGTACATCATTATTTTTCTAATTTGCATTTCCCTAATTATGGGTGAGGTTGAGAATATTTTCCTACACTTAAGAACATTTGGATTTGTGTTTTCAAAAGGCATTGCTCAGTCTTTTTCCATTTATCAACTGCTTATCTTTTATTAACTGAACAATAGGCGTTAAATAACTATGGAAGACTACTTATTTATTATTTCTAGAAAAAGTATCAGATGAACAATGTAGGTTTCTAAATCTGCTAAGGTCTCCAAAGTCTGCCTTGATAAATGAATAACAGGGAATAATAGAGGTATCACTAGATAAGGAGTCTCAGTTCTACCACAGTTGAAAACATTTTAATAACCTGAATAGATGAAGAGTTATACCATGTTCATTGATGGAATGACTTAATAGTGAAGATGTCAACCCTCCCCAAATCAATCTTCACATGTAATGTAATTCCAATAAAAATGCCCAGCAGAAAATTTTTTAGGAACTCTACAAATTTATTCTAAAATGTTTGTGGAGGGCGCCTGGGTGGCTCAGATGGTTAAGCGTCTGCCTTCAGCTCAGGTCATGATCCCAGAGTCCTGGGATCGGGTCCCACATGGGGCTCCCTGCTCCTTGGGAGCCTGCTTCTCCCTCTGCCTCTCTCTCTCTCTCTCTCTCTCTCTGTCTCTCATGAATAAATAAATAAAATCTATAAAAAAATTTTAAAAAAATAAAATGTTGGTAGAGTAAAAAAGTACACAAATAGCCAGTTCAATTTTGAAAAAAAAAAAGAGGATCAAGGAAAAAGGAGCATGCTTTATCATAAAAAGCTTCCACTAAAAAAATAGTAAAAGAAAACTGATCAATAGAACATAAAAGTTCTCAGGGAAAAAGGGAAATGATATATCAAAAACTAATGATGTACTATATATTGGCTAATTGAACATAATAAGAAAAGAAAAGAATATAGGGAAAACATACACTCCAGAGAGAAAAATAGTCTTGAATTTCTACATACGCCATATTCAAAGTGGATGCCAAATGGAACAAAGATCTAAAGAAGAAAGGTAAAATTATAAAGTAATAGAAGAAAATTGTACAGAACATACTTGAAACTTAGGGATAGAGAAGGACCTCTTAGAGTAGATGCCCAAAACATCTAGATGTCTACAAAATAAAGAGCATCATAAACAAAGTTAATGAACAGATGACAGTTTGGGAAAAAATATTTGTAATCTCTAAAACTGAAACAGGATTATGAACTCCTGGAAATTAATAAGAAAAGGATGGGAAACAGTAGAAAAATGAGCAAGGAACATTATCATGTGTTTCACAGAAGGAGAAACCTAAATCAGGTTGTTGCAGGTCAGGTTTCTTGGAAGACACACTAGGTGATGAAAATTATAATGGAAAAAGTTTATCAGGAAGTGCTGTCAGGATAAACACCTGTGGTGGAAAAGAAGGAAGGATTGGACAGAGGAAGAAGTGGGTCTGGAGTGCAATCTCAACAAATGACTCAGCCCATCTATCTTAGTCTGCTAGGGCTACCATAACAAATTACCACAACAGAAATTTATTTTCTTATAGTTCTATATCTACAAGTCCCAGATGAAGGTCAGGCAAAGTTGGTTTCTGGTAAGGGCCCTCTTTTAGGCTTGTGGATAGCTGCCTTCTTTCTGTCCTCACAGAGCCTTTGCTCTGAGTTATGTGCGGAGAAAAAGATCTCTCTCTCTTCCACTGCTTGTAAGGCCAGCAGTCCTATAGGATTAGGACTCCACCCTTATGGCTTCATTTAACCTTAATTTCCTCCTAAAATCCCTATCTCTAAATATAGTCACACTGGAGATGAGGGTTTCAAGATATGAATTTGGGGGGGTGGAGCGCTAGGGCACAATTTAGTCCATAGTGCCACCTGATGAGAGCTCCAAAGCTGGAATGGTGTGGCAGATTCTATTTTCCAAAAAATGACAACAATCTCCTATGCCACATGTTCTCACGAGGTGACCGTGATACTCCTCCCATGGAAAAGAAGGGTCTACATCCTCTCTCCTCGAACGCCGGTAAGCCTTCCTGACTATATCGGCCAACAGAAAATAATAAATACATGACTTCCAAGGCTAGGTCATAAAAGGAAATGCAGCTTCCAGATTGTTTGTTTGAATACTCATTCTTGAAGTATTTAGCTGCCACATAAGCAATCTGACTAGCCAGAGACCACCATGTTATAAGAAAGCCCCAACTAACCCATATGAATAAAGCAAATGGCAAGACCCTGAGATTACACACACACACACACACACACACACACACACACACACACACACCGAGAGAGAGAGAGAGAGAGAGAGAGAGAGAGAGGGAGAGAGAGAGAGAGATGCTCAGCCAAACTCCAGCTGTCTTAGCCCTCTGTTTTTTAGCTCTAGCCACTATCTGATGGAAATCATGTGAGACCCTAGGCCATAACTTCTTTGATCCCCTCCCAAATTCCTCAGTCACAGAACCCCTGCAGCAGTGATTTGATATATCTATTTGATAGATAACTAGAACAGACAGTGCTTCAGAATAGCCTTGAATTGGGACAGAAGGACTAGACTTTATATTCTTACATTTACCACTCATTGACTGAGGACTGTTCTGGAAGCTAGGGACTTTGGGCAAGGTAACTCTCTTCAGTCAAGGGCAATTACCAAAAAAAGTGCTGATTGCTGAAGGCCGTTGACCAGCAGAACTCCCAGGAACTTGGGGGAATAAGTCCTTCAGTCTTGAGGCAGGATCCAGATGGCATATCACAGCATCTGCTATGGTCCATCCCTTGTACCACTTAGATCCATCTCTTTTTATAAGTTCTGCATGCAGCAATTGCAGCATTCTGGTGGGCCTCTTTTCTAGCAGGAAACATAAAAAAGAAAGATTAGTGGGATGACCCACAGCTCTACAGCTGCAACTTGTCTCAGCGCACCAAATGATTCTCATTTTTTCCCTTCTTCACTCTCTATTCTAGATCCTTTTCCCTCTCAGAGACTCTCCTGGTCTACGTGACTTGCCGGATGGGATGACCCAGCCCCTCATTTACTGAGGGGTCATAACTCCTGCTCAAGTCTTTCTGTTGCAGCTGTAAGTATTCATTTACATCAAAATTGGGCAAAGTAGTAAAGACATACCCAGGTGAAACTTCTGAATCCTAAATACCTTCTTCCTCTCTGGATTCTATAATAGAAGCCCCACTTCCTAGTGAATCAGAGACCATTGGTCTGATGTGAGGTTATGTGGGATCCATGTAGGTGGATGAAACACTCTATAAATCCTCACATAGTGGTGTGGGCATAGACTACAAGAGACAAAGAATATATGCCAGTTCTAGTAAAAATGAATTGATGTCCTTCTCAGGGTGGAGACGTTCAAGATACTCAACTTGCCATCAAGTCATGCCTCAAGAGATAGTTACAAAGGGGGGGGGGGGCGCTAGTTTCAGTGTTGGTTTTTGTTGATGGCAACTCAAACTCAGCAGTGACAGTAGCTAGAACAGCCTTAGTAAGAGCCCAGACTATTGAGCGCAAGCTTAGCTTCCTTCCCTGTCACCATAGCTATTTCATTTGTGTGTCTATTGTTTCATCACTGTGATAGCCAATGACAGAGGCTAGTTCACACCACCTGGCCGAATTATTGTGTCAACTTGATTGTTTAGTGCTTCCTCCATGGTAGATGCTCTCTGGTGGGCATTACCATATTATAAGATTTTCACTTTTCATGCTTATTCCCCTATGTCAACTCACATGCCTCTACCCCAGATCGTGTCCCCAGTCCTCCAAGCATTCTTTCGGAGCAGGTCCCTGACAAGCTGTCCAAGTCATTTGCCACTGCACATAAGTCCATATATACTCAGACCTTGGTAGATGAAGACGATGTACCAGATGAACCACCCAAAATTAAGCCCATTAGGAAGATTTCCCCTCACAATTACATTTAAAATCCATCCATGATTGGATTTAATCCAATCCAATTGGAGCTGTATTGGAGCTTCTGTTCCTGTTATCTAGTGCCACCTAACCCAAATGTAGTAGTTCAAAATAACGTTTTTTCCTCTCACATGTCTAAAATTTGAGCAGAACTTGGTGGGAACAAGTGAGACAGCTGAAATCTAGGGAACAGAATCACGAGAAGTCTTTTAACTCACATGTCTGCCAGTTGATGCTAACTGTTGGCTGGGACCTCAGCTGCTAAAGCAGCTGCAAGACCTATACATGGCCTTTTAATAAGGATATTTCGCTTCCTCAAAGCGTGGTATCTAGGTTCAAGAGCAAGCATCTCAAGAAGAAGAAAAATCCAGGAGGGAAATCACTTAGCATCACTTCCACCTTATTCTATTGGTTAGAACTGAATTACTAAGGCCAGCCTGTATTCAAGCTGAGGAAAATTGAACTCTATCTTTTGATAGTGTCAAAATATAGGGTCATAAAATGCCAAAGAATTTTCAGCCATATTTTTAAGCCACCACAGCTTACAAATATGCTAAGCCAATCCATCTGTGAACCAAGCTCACTTTTTTTTCTTCTTTCGTCAGCTGTTCATGAGAGACCTCTCATTTGCCCATGAATGTGACCTAAGAGAGAGGGACGCGTATAACAGTGTGGATGACATGACAGTCTGGAGCACCTGCTTGTGCAACTAACTTTGCCTTCTGGTTCTACTTGGGCTGGATCCCAGATGTATCATTTCCATCTTACATTGGAGAGCTGCTGGGCTTGTCCAACTTTATGACTTGGTAGGTCTGACAAAACCTGTCTCATAATGGGAAGTGCTGGCCACATGGTCACTTGATTACACATTGTCAGGTGCTCCAACCCTACCAGGGTCCAGCAGCTGGCTAGGAGTTAATTTTTGGGTGGCATATAATTATTCACTATAGATGGCATGCTTTTGCTCCAGAACTCTAGGGCTTGCCATAAAATCCACGGAGCATCTTTTCTCACATCAGACACCTCTAAAATTACAGGATAAGCTGAATTCTGTATCCCAACTGGCAGGACTGCTAGCCTAGCATCCTGGACCTGCTACAGAGCTTTTTTTCTGTTCCGGGCCTCATGCAAAGCTGACAGCCTCTCATGTGGAAGACATGGCCATCAAGCCCAAAGAGAGACCACTGTATTTCTTTCTTTGTGATGGGAAGTATGAGATGCAATAATTACTGTTGTTTTCGTTACTCTGGGATGGAAAGTCTTGGCATGTTCCAGACCACTGCATTTCTGAAATTTCACTAAGATGATTAGTCCCTGGATCTTCATAGTGTTCATCTCATACTCTCTTAAGCACATGCCTTAATGTGGTTTCCAACGTATTTACTGTTTCTTGCTACATCTAGTCAAGTTAGCATAATGTCACTGATGTAATAGAAAACTATGTTCTGCAGGATGTCCAGAGAGTGTGGGTCTCTTCAGACTATATTATGACAAAGAGGTGGCTATTAACATTTGTCTTTATAAACTGTAAATGAACACTACCTTCTTTTTTTTTTTTAAGATTTTATTTATTTATCTGACAGAGAGACACAGTGAGAGAGGGAACACAAGCAGGAGGAGGGGGAGGGGGAAGCAGGCTTCCCACAGAGCAGGGAGCCCGATGCAGGGCTTGATCCCAGGACCCCAGGATCATGACCTGAGCCGAAGGCAGACGCTTAACGACTGAGCCACCCAGGAGCCCCTGAATACTACTTTCTGTTCCAAGGGAACGCAAACTGTTTCTGATCCTCCTTTCTGATTGAGCTGAAACAGAATGCACTACCACACTGAAGGCTGCATACTACATGCCTCAGGTCAATAGTAAGCTCCTTTAGAAAAGATACCACATGTGGCAGTATGGAAGCAATGGGGCTACACTTGGTGGCACTTGTACTAGTCTACCGTCATCCTTCAGAGTCCATCTGGTCTTTGCAAGTGCCAGACTTGGGAATTAAATGGGACTATGATGGGGACCACTTCTGAATGATATAGATCCCTAAGAGAGACACCCACCCCCTGACCTCCCAAGGTTGCCTTTTTTCTTTAATTTTTATTTTAATGAGGTGGTAACAGTTACAGAGTTTGCCTTTCCCCACTATGATAGCTCTTACCTCACAGAAAAAGGAACCCATACTAGGTTCTGCCAAGTCCCTGACTGCAGCCAAAAAGGCCTTCTTTTTCACACTTAGTCTTTAATTATTGACTAACCAATCTTGACCATTCATTATCTTTTTCTAAAGCACCAGTTTCCCCTAGCAATAGCCATCTAATTTAATTGTTCATATGATTATCATTTCCTCCATATTTTTTTAAAGATTTATTTATTTATTTGACAGAGAGAGAGAGATAGCAAGAGCAGGAACACAAGCAGGGGGAGTGGGAGAGGGAGAAGCAGCTCCCTGCTGAGCAAGGAGCCCAATGTGGGACTCGATCCCAGAACCCTGGGATCATGACCTGAGCAGAAGGCAGACAATTAACGACTGAGCCACCCAGGCGCCCTCCTCCATATTTTCTAAATGTTGGCTGCAAGGCACCCACTAGTGCATTTCTTTTCATTGGTACCCCCATTTTAGTTTACGAGTGATGAAAGTTTAACGATTTCACTGCTACCTTTTATAGGATCAGTCTAGCCCTCATCCACTACCACCACTGGGGAGTGGGGGGGGCAGTAACTCGTTGCCAGCAGGCCAGAGGATAATCTAGCCCGAGAATCCTCTCTTAGTGTGTGCTTTCTCAAACTACCCCACTTTGAGTATGACTGTTGAAGACTGTATTCCCAAGAAAGCAGATTCTGAAACGGAGGTTAGCATGAAGAAATTTTATTAGAGAATGTTCTCGAGATCAACACATGTGAAAGAAAGGAAGGAGGCAGGATTGGACAGAGGGAGAAAATGGGTTGCAACGCAGTCTCGGCAAAAATTTCACCTGATCCCATAGAGAACCTTGTACCGTAGGCTGGCCCTTTTGAGTGGTCCCATGTTAGGATGAGAGGTTTGGGCCTGTGCTTCCAAATAAACCAGTTATTGGAGATAGACTGCTTCTGGAAAGGGCATATGACATGGCAGCCCTCTTCTTCCAAGGGTAATTTCTGAGAAGGGCTGACAGCTGACAGCCACCAGCCAAAAGCATTCCCAGATGGAGGAATTAAGTCCATTCCTGAAGGAGGATCTAGGCAACACATCACAGTACCCACTACGCAAGTATAGGAAAAAAATATACAGATTCATATAAATTCACATTTAAACAATCAGCGATCTCTCACAGCCATCAGATTGTCAGAGATGTAGGGAAACAGGAGCCTTTATATACCACTGATAAGAATATAAATGAGTACAGATCCTCTGTAAACAATTTGTCATTATTTAACAAAATTAAATAAACATATACCTCATGACTCAGCCATCCCATAAAAACTCTAACACAGGTCTATAAAGTTACATGAACAAGAATACTCATCACAGTGCTGTTTGTAGTAATGGAGACTAGGAATAAACTAGGTCGACATCACTAGAGAAATACATAAGCAATATATGGTGGTTATAACACATTAGAGTGAGTGTCTACAGAAAAGAGGGGCAGGAGAATGGAAACTAGGTAAAGAAATAAAGGTGAAAAATAAATAAAATAAAGCGGGGTCATGAATGAATCAGTGATTAACTCAACCCTTTGCACCTGAGGTCCCAAATGGGAATATTAATATATATATATTAAACAATTTGGTGTAAATTTTCTCTTCTGTACGTTTGAAATTCAAAACCTAACAGGAAGAAAGTCGAGAGTACTCCTAGAAAAATTCTCTCTAGTTGGAAAGATACCTCCCAAGGCTTTATACTTAGAATCACACAGCTTCCTACCTACTTAGACACTTGCAGAAGAAAACTTCT